CCCCCCCCCCCCCCCAGCATGCAAAGGGAAGCAGGGTTGGGTTGTAGTGCAACCGGTAAAGCTACTGATCCTTTTGGTCTCTGCAGAATCTCAACCACTTTGTCACCGGGTGGATTGACTGGAACTTGGCCCTGGACATGAAAGGGGGACCCAACTGGGTGGACAACACCGTGGATAGCCCCATCATCGTGAACCCCCTCAAAGATGAATTCTACAAACAGCCCATGTTCTATCACCTGGCACATTTCAGGTAAAAACTCAGCCGAGACGGTTTCGCAAGGTGTGGAGGAAGTGGCAATGGAGAGAAAACAACAACAACAACGATACGGATGCTATAGGAGGGGCTCGTCCCGTGGCAGGGAGTTCTGCAGGCTGCCGAGGAAAGGAAGGGCGGGAAGGAGGCAGTTTTACATTTAACGGTTCGTGAATTAGATTAAGGTCCAGGAACTGACCTCGGTCCAGTGGTATCGGCTAACATTTTCTCTCTTCCGGCCAGCAAATTCATCCCGGAAGGCTCCGTGCGAGTCGCTCTCACTTCCAACTGCTTGTTCGACAGCTGTCAGTTAAAGACTTCAGCTTTCCTGAGACCCGATGGCACCGCGGTGGTTGTGGTGCTGAACGAGTAAGTGGAGAGGGTCTGGAGGACCCCAAATTGGCAATAGAGTGGGCTGGTGTGAAGCTTGGGAGATGGAAGAAGAGAGGCTTTCTAAGGAGTAATTAGATAAGAGGCCGAGTAGCCCGCAGCTACATAATGGGCAGAGAAAGAAGTTTGAAAGAAACCTTTCCTTGTTTCTCAGTCTGTAAAACAAACAGTGAGAGAGTGATATTTCCAGACTGGCAAAATTCTTGTCAGCCTTCCAAAATAATAAACAAAAGCAGACGAGCTAATCCTACTTTATTGTAAGGCTATGTTAACAGTATCTTCTAAGTCTGTAAGCATACATTTGTCACACTTCCTTTGACCAGAATTTATCCTCTCTTTTCAGTTGGTTTGTCGATATTTCTTTCACTATCTCGGACGATCAGGTGGGTTCCATTAAGGATTCGGCGAGAGCTTACTCCATCCAAACCTACCTGTGGAGGAGGCCCCTTTGAGGTCCTGAGGCGGGGAAGGAAGAGCAGGCTCTGCAGAGAAGAGACCTTGTGTCACAGCCCACAACTCACACATTGAAGAAGACGCTTCAGCTAAACCAGTGGAATGTCAGCCTCAGGAGGCATCAAACTTGGTTGATACAACACAGGCACGATCACAACACCTGGAGCATACTCAGTCTCCAATCCCTTGGACATGGACCGTAGAGCTGAGAGCAGAGCAACGATGCTCAATGAGGCTCCTTGTCAAACAAGGGAGTAGCTATCTTAATTAAAGACAGCTTGATTTAAGGGGGCACCCCTGAACCATATTCCTCTTCCGGTCTCCTGTTCTAGTGTGTCATTCCTGTGTTTCTGCTTGTGATTCCTGAAACCCTGATCGTTGGACTGTCTGACAAATCTGACTTGGCTCTCTGAACTTTGGACTGGATTTTGACTATTCTTCTGCGTGTTTCTTTTGAGAACAAAACTACTTTGGCTAGCTTTAATTTCTTGATTGCTATTTTTTTCCTTGTCTGCTGCTATCTGCTCAACCTTGAGTAAATTTTGGCTTTCCTGACCTAGCAACTGTGTGTCTGTGTGTGTCCTCATACTTACAACCAACGCAGTATATCCGTGATTACAACATGGGCAGTTATCAGCCAGCATGTCTTTTATGCGGCTGCAGCATCCCAGGGTCATGTGATCTCCATTTGTAACCATTTGAAGCCTGATTCATTTTAACAACCGCATAATCCTCTTAGCAATGGCGGTAATTGGCTTAACCCTCCTGGCACAAAGATCATAAAAATAAGCCATGGTCATAAAGTAAGTCACTTAACTGCAACAGAGTCAAGACCAATTTGAAGGCCCAAAAAGAAAAACAAAAATTGTTTTATTCTTTGGCCTGCAGGGGACGTTTGCAAAAAGTTGCTAGTCCACATGTAGAAAATATCCTTAAAACATCAACAACCTCATCCTTAACCCCACAGGCACCGGCTGATCCTTGTTAAAGTTGTCCGCTACAAGTACATTTGACTCTTGCCATATCTTAATAATTAACAGTAATGTTAATAATAATTTAAGAGGGTTTTCTGCCAACATCTTAGATTAGCTTTGAACCACTTGTTAAATTGGATCATTATCATTATCATATTATTGCAAAGCAGTGGTGGTATTCAGCCGGTTCGCACCGGTATGCACAAACCAGTAGCAAGGATTTGGCATGGGTCATCGAACTGGTAGTAACTTCTGCCTGGCCACGCCTCTGACCCAGTCGCCCCTCCCTTCCCTGCCCAGCCAGTCCTTATCGCGCATGCCCAACATCGCTGACTGCGTTCTTCCCTCCCCAGTTGTCATGCCCTTGATAGAGTTGGACTCCGAGGGAGGGGAGGAGCAACTGACAGGAAGTGAAGGTGTGGCTCCTGAGGTGGTGGAGGAGGCTGGGGAAAGGCAGAGGAAGAACCAGGCCCGTTCCCTCTGCATCCTAGGACATACAGGGAGGAACAGAGAAGGGAACAACATGGCTTATGGGAGAGGAAGCGGCCACGATCCCCCTCACTGGGGGAATAGTATATAGGAGGGGTGTTTAAAACACAGCATTGCTAGAAGTGGTAGTAAAAATTTTTTTTGAATCCCACCACTGTTGTAAAGGGCTACCTCAAAACATTTCCACCTGGGCTGCCCTAATTAATTAACTTTTTGGATGATTTCATAAATCAACGTCCTAACTGATGCCAGAGTTTTCAGAATTTTCTAACAAGGTTTTTGTAATCTGAATAAAGTCACAGCTCTTACAACAACGTGTTTTTTTCAAACTCGGGGACTTTAAGGGGTGAGGACTTCAACTCCCAGAATTCCTTAGCTAGTATGTTGGCTGGGGAATTCTGGGAGTCAAAGTCCACACCTCTTAAAGTTGCCAATTTGGAAAATAATCCAGCTTTTACAGCCTTTAACTTTTTTTTTTTTTAAAGGGTGAATCACTAGGTGAGTCAATAGGTGCTGAGTCACTAGGTCTTCCTATTGGTAAGGAGTTAGCTAATAAAGTTTAATTTTGTTGGCATCTCTTCCCAACAACTCATGCTGTTGTGTTGCGCCGAAACATATTAGAAGTGACTCAGAGATCTTAGGATTTATTTTCCTTTAAAAGATATGTATCTGAAATCAACTGAGTTTTAAGGTATACTGCTCTTCAGGGTCTATTTTTTCAAAAATAATTTAAAAAAACAATTTTATTTCATTTTCACAAAACACAGAAAAATAAAACATCTTTTTTTTTAGTGAACAGCTTGGTTTCAGGTTTTCAAATCTCCATATAGATATAATCTCAGTTACATATTCATCTTTCATATTCAATTTCATATCTCGTCGCTACTTTAAATATACTTTATTAATTTTTCTTCTCAAATACTTCCCTCAGGCATATTTTATAACTCTCTCATTCATTTCTAAATCAAATTCATCCTAAAGAAAAAACTGCTATTAATTCCCTCACAAACCTTCTCATAATTCATTTCAATCACATTTTATAAATCCTTAATATACATCAATATAATTCAATTGAATTTTACATATTTTCATCTTTTATTTGATCTAGCTGTTATCGTATATTCCATTAAGTAACAATCCCCATTTCATCTTCCATTTTAATTACATATATTTTCCTGTTTTCTACATAATTTCTTATTTCTAAAATATTTATATAATCCCTTATCACCAGGCAGAATCCTCTATTTTAGTTGTAATTTCAGCCATTATCTCTGTGTCTATCAATCAAACTATTCCTTTTAATTCTTCTACGTTTCCCATATTTCTTTATTTCCTGATTCTGTTCTTTGTAACTTCCTTTCTCCTCTTTTTCTCACTCCAATTTTTGTCCCCCTTATTCTTTCAAAAACTTTTGAGTGCTTGTTAATTATCTTACGTGGTAGAATAATTAAGAATACACCTGCCTCCCATTATAAAGGAACAATGAAAGTAAGCATAAATGAATAATATTGCTCTTTGGAATGGCTTTATTTCAAGAATATATTGCACTAGCTCTCAATACCCATCCTTCACTACAAAACTATGTGATCGGGCTTAGATTTTGGGGGAGGAAAATAAGGGGGAAAAAATTCTGCCTCTGCCTACCAGCATCCATCAATATTCAACTGGTTAGCGTCCTGTCAGTGTGTGAGAGAGTGGAGGGCTGTATGGAAACTGAAAGAATATTTGCTGTGTGAGCAAGAAGGAGACAGCAAGGAGCCTGGGTGTGGCTTAGCTCAACTGTTCTGTACTAAAGCTGCTTGGCGCTCTGAAACTAAAACTCCTCTGCTTGTGTTTTGCATTTGGAAGAGATTTCTTTCCAGGTGGGGAGGGGGAGTAGAACTCCTTAGCATCAGAGCGTGTTAATAATAATAATATACTGTAGGAAATACTAATGCTCTGAGGGTCATTTTGAAAAATCCTTTCTTAGTGAGCCCCTAGAAACCAAGAGGAACCTATGTGCCAAATTTCAAGTTTGTAGGCTTTATGGTTCTAGAGATTTTGTGATGATGCGCGAGGGGCATTTTTTATAGAGAGAGATTATTCATAGAGTTTCTTATTTATGATACAACGAATGCATTTTGTCCTGAGAATCATACCGAGTTGTACATTTGAAATGACAAGAAAATACAGTATCTTTGATTATCATTTCTCCCCGTTTATAGAGAAGCATGCTATTATTTGAGACACAAGAACAGCCCCAAGGTATCTGAAATAAATACATTCATAAGCATTTCCAATACTTTTTTCCTTGATTACATTTGAAGGCAAGAAAAAGCCATGATATGCTTTTCATATAGAAAGAAAACAGGACTGCTGCAATGGTTGCTCAAAATACAACTTTCCATTGTAGTAAATGAAAGCAAGTTTTCTCCAGCGTACTTCTGAAAACGTCAACTTAAAACATTGAATTCATCTGAATACAATTTTGCATTCTTTGCTGCTAGTAAGATTATATAACTGACTTTTCTCTACAGAAAAAAAAAAATCAATAAACCTTGCATTTTAGAAGTTTAAGAAAAAAAAGATATGTACCTAAAACTATTCTTTTCTCTCTTTTTTTTTCCTTTACAAATATAGAGTTGGTTTTTAAGTTTGGAGGGAGAAAAGCGTGTACAGGTAATCCTTGATTTGCAACCAGAATTTCTGTTGCTATTATTAAAAGGGATTTGCTTGATTTTATGACCTTTTTTCCCACGATTGTCACATTTTAATCTTGAGAGAATCAAAACTTAACTTCGATCAAATAAACCAATTTTGAATTCCTTCCTGTTAGTAGATCTTGATCTTTAATCCTTTCAGATTAATTCCCTGTAATCCCTTAATTCCAAATAACGTTCTAGAACTTTCTTTTTTTTCTTTTCTTTTCTTTGTCCCTCCTTACAAAATTCTTCAAAGCTTTAATAAGCCTCTTTCGTAAATCCAATATAGGAAAGATATGTCGTTTTTCCAGTTTGTATTCTGCCAATCCCTCGGATTATTGAGACACCAGACGGTTTCGTTTGGATGTTTAATGTAGCAACTTTTTTGCATATCATTTTCATATCATACTTTTGCCCAGTAAAATCTGTTCTTCTTCTAAATGTCTTTTAAAATCAAGTTGTTCTACAATGGCAGACATTCTTAAAACTAATTCTGCGTCCGTTGTTCGCAAACATCCTTCATAATGTCTGAGATGAAAGTATTTGCTGTGTTCTGCATGAGTAAATCAAATTTAAGGGTTTTCTAATTACAGGTAATCCTTGAATTACGATCACAATTAAGCTCAACTTTTCTGTTGATGAGTTGAGACCCTTGTTAAATGAGTTTGGCCTCATTTTATGACATTTCTTGCCACCATTGTTAAGTGAATCACTGCCAGTAATTTTAAGAATTGAAAGCAACACATTTTCTTACAATTAATTTCAAAACCTTATTTCAAATCCATCTGGTACCTTTCCAAAAATCTATCACCCTTTTTCGGTTTACTCTAAAAAAAAAAAAAGTTTTTAAATCTTTAAACTTGTATTTAAAACTCCCTTC